CTATCGAATTGCGGTAATTCTTGAAAATTAACAAATTGATTGGTAAAACGTTAGATTTTTTCTTTGTATCCTTATAATGCCAACATAAGATAAATTTATTAAAGCAAGATTAAATGAAACTTCTTTTAAAATTATTATGGTATTTGTGGAGTGTTTTTATTGGTGGTTCACAAAATTATTTTGTTTTTGTGTATATGTAATGATTGGATTAGGATGAGTGGAGAGGAGAGGTTTCGGATAGTGCGGAGTGTCGGGGAAGAGTGTATACAGGAGGATGAGTTGTTGAATCTTCTCACGAAGAAGCCTGAACCAATTTGCTATGATGGGTTTGAACCATCAGGAAGAATGCACATCGCTCAGGTATTTGTTTCATTCAAATGCTATCGGATAGTGTTTAAATTTAGTTTCTTCAGATTTTCATAAACTAGTTGCTTAGTATATAGTTAGTTGGATGATTGATGGGTTAGTTTCCGACAAATTAAGAGGAAGAAAGGTAGGCGATGCATCTAAAGGGATTTTGTTTTCTTTTTCAGTCAACTGTTTTTGCTTGATCTCTTTGATCTGTTTATTCTATCTTTCCACGTTGAGATTTTTTGAAAATCTCTTCACTTTTTATATTTTAGGTAGCATTGGTTTTCTGTTTGAAAGTCAGGGGAATATATATGGTTAATCTATGATAAAGACTGTTTCCAATTCATGATATAATATGAATTTAAATCTGTGATGAATTAAATTGCTACCAAATTTTTTCTTTATTTTGGCTGCTGTACATGAGTTGTGTAATATTTAATTATTTTCCAGCAGCTCAGGAGTATGATTGCTCAGAGACATTACTTATCATTCTTGAAACAGTATCAGCTTTTCTTTTCCTTTTCATTTGAAAAATTTACAAACTTAACAAATTCATTATTTATGTAAGACCTTTGTATAGATTTTCTGGTTAGTTGAGATTTCTTACCTTTTTATTGATTTTTCATTTAATTTGTTTACTGTGTATCTCATGCCCGGCAAACATTGAATGTTTTCTGACCAAAGCTCATGTTTTGTGATAGTTGATGTGTTTAGAGCAGAACTTTATTTTTTACTTTTTAATAGAATTTCTGATCTGTTTTACTGCCATTTGATTGGTGACCAGGGTGTTATGAAAACGATCAATGTCAACAAGCTCACCTCTGCTGGTTGCAAGGTGAAAATTTGGATCGCTGATTGGTTTGCACAGCTGAACAACAAAATGGGGGGGGACTTGAAAAAAATTCAAACAGTTGGGCGTTATTTGATTGAGATATGGAAAGCTGCTGGGATGGATCTCAACGGGGTTGAGTTTCTGTGGTCTTCAGAAGAAATCAACAAGAGAGCACATGAGTACTGGCCCATTGTGATGGATATAGCTCGCAGGAACAAGCTTCCCAGAGTAATGAGGTAGAATGTGAATTAAATTATTTACCCTTGATTCCCACCTGTATTTTTGGTATGGTCATGTATTTGATGGCATTTAACATGAAATTTTGGTCCTATATAGGTGTGTGCAGATTATGGGTCGTAGTGAGCAGGAAGAGNTTGGACGTTATTTGATTGAGATATGGAAAGCTGCTGGGATGGATCTCAATGGGGTTGAGTTTCTGTGGTCTTCAGAAGAAATTAACAATAGAGCACACGAGTACTGGCCCATTGTGATGGATATCGCTCGCAGGAACAAGCTTCCCAGAGTAATGAGGTAGAATACAAATTAAATTATTTACCCTCGATTCCCCCTGTATTTTTGGTATTGATGGCATTTAACATGAAAGTTTTGTCCTCCCTAACAAAACATAACATTTTGGTCCTATTTAGGTGTGTGCAGATTATGGGTCGTAGTGAGCAGGAAGAGTTGACTGCAGCCCAGATTCTCTACCCATGCATGCAATGTGCCGACATATTTTTCCTTAAGGTGCTTATATTTATAGTTTAAACATTTTCCCTCTGGGCATTATGACTCAACTCCTCACAAGTGCTTAAATTTATTGAAAAGGTTTTCAGTATTTTCTCTCCCACCACTGTTTGGATGCGTCCAATCGTTTATATTTATTTGTTCTTTTCCATTCTCTTAACTTATGACGTTATCGATTTTATAATAAGAATGTTTATCCACAGTTTTTATTAGAGTAGGGCACACTGCAATGCAATTTTTTTGTTTTACGTTTTCTATCAATGTGAGTAAGGCCAAGCACCTATGTAAGTGAGAATCAGAGCAAGAGTGACACTGTATTCTCTTGTTTTGAATATATCAATCAGTTTTTCATTAGATAGAGAGAGAGGTGAATTATTTTTATCTCATTCTATGTTTTGCATTTGCGAAAACTATTAGTAGAGTTTCTATGAAAACTGCTATCAAGATTATATGTCTGTTGATTCTGGTATGCTTTTTTGTGTGAATCCTCATTTTATTACCGATGTTACTTGTTGCTGATGAGTTGCTTCTTATCTCAACAGGCTGATATTTGTCAGTTGGGCATGGATCAACGGAAAGTAAATGTACTTGCGAGAGAGTACTGTGATGACATAAAGAGGAAAAATAAGCCCATCATATTGTCACATCGTAATCCTCTAAATATATTCAAATTCCTACAGGTTTCTTTTTTCCACCTTTCAATTTTCTTACTAGCTGTTGGATTCTATGACATGTAGATATGCTTCCTGGTCTTAAGCAAGGGCAAGAGAAGATGTCAAAGAGTGATCCATCATCTTCCATCTTCATGGAGGATACAGAAGTAAGATTTGGTTTTCAAGAGGAGTAAATTATCATGATAAGTGTATGATGGTCTTAGTAATTTTCTAAATTAACAGCTCAAGCTACATTTGATTTAACTCATTTTTATTTAAAATGTTGTGAATTTTTTTTTTCTACAAGCTTCTTTGTTTGGTGTCACAGGCAGATGTGAATTCAAAGATAAAGGGAGCATACTGTCCCCCGAAGATTGTTGAAGGAAATCCATGTCTAGAGTACATAAAATACATTGTCTTCCCATGGTTTAATGACTTTCAGGTGGAGCGCAGTACAGCCAATGGTGGTGACAAGTAAGTTCTATTGATGACTGCTTACCATTTAAAAGCTTTCATTTTTCCCTCGTCTTGTGTTTAGATATTGCTATCGGAGATTTCTTTTTTGCCCAGTTTTTTCCAATTAATTTCCATGCTTTCTCACTAATTTTAAGGTCAGGAACTCCTTAAATGCAATCTTCTTATTTTTGCAAAGACCGTGTTTTTTGAAGTATTTCTTTTTTATTTTGTTATAAGCACTACGATAGCTTTGAAATGTGGGATTTAGTTGCCCCTTTTTTTTCAGCTAATGGCACACTTATTGTGTTTGTTCATAAATTCCATTGCAATCCAGGACCTTCAATAGCTTTGAAGAACTTGTTGCTGACTATGAGGAGGAGAAGTTACATCCTGCTGACCTCAAACCAGCTTTGGCAAAAGCATTAAATAAGATACTACAGGTTCTTGCTTTTATCGTGTTCCTGTTGATGGTTGGGAAAAGTTGCGAAGTTCCTGGTCAAATAATAAGATTTATTTTGTTAGCATCAGCTGGCATTTTTTATTGATATCTTACATGGTTTTGTTAGTGCTGCTTACTTCTTTGATGTAGTTATAAGGTGTTAATTGTAATTTTCTTTTCAAATTTTGGAATTGTTGTGAATCTCATATTGGCCTCTTTTTACCTTACTCAAAAGAAATCTTAAAAAGGGAAGGAAGCCATTGTTGGATAGTCTGTTCGTTGTATCCTCATTATGTTTCATTCTCTTTCTTACCTTATCTCTCTCTTTCTTTTTAAAAGAATGGTGAAATACATGAGAAACCCTTGGGGTCATTTCCTTCATTTTACTTGTTTCTGTCTTTGTATGATGAATTTGGTCCTTCTGTATCCTTTTCAGTAAAATCGTAGTGTTTGAAAATTTTTAACTCAACCTTTTTGTTATTAGGACCTAAAAAATAGTGTTTACATTCTAGATACTGAAGAAACCGTAGATGGGCCTAAACATAGGGAACCAGATATAAAGTCCATTTGGCCAGCCGAGTTGCCTTTTTATCACTCATCATGTTGTAAAGAGAAGACATGTTTTGCTTTACTTTCTGTTCTCTTTTTTTATTATAAATAAATTTATCAATAGAAACAAAACCAGATACTTGACTGCTTGAATTGTCTGCATCCTATAGGTAAAGGGAATAATTTGTGAGATAAGGAAATCACTAGCTTTCAACTTTGTTTGAAAAACCTATCGGTGGTCAACATTCAGCTGCTAGCATAGTTTTATAGTGTTTATAAGAATCATGAAATTGTTTTGGTGTGTCAGTGGTGTGGTTCCACTTCGTTAGACTACCCAAAAAATTTCAGTACGATTTCTTTCTATGATCTAATATTGCTCTTGTGCTTATTTTTTTATTTGTTATCCCTCTGTAGCCTGTACGTGATCATTTCAAAAATGATGCTAATGCTCAGGATCTGCTGAAACGTGTTAAGGTATGTCTTCATTTTGCTTCATATTGTGTAAGATTCTGGCTGTTTATGATAACAGTTTTAAACCAAGATTTCTACATAAATATTAATCTTAATTACAAATGAAGTCAATCTTATTATCTTCTGATTTTTTCGGCGATATTGATCTTTGCTTTGTTTTTCAATTTTGTAGGGTTACAGAATTACCAGGTGACGGAGAGGAGGATGTTCGCTTGCTCATGTCAGGATATGTCTTACTAAAATTGCCCACAAATAGATTTTTCTTAAGTTATAAAATTTTGTATAAGTAGATTATTGCTCGATTATTTGTACATTAAAATGATAATTGGATGTAGATGAACGATATTTTTACATTGATGCAGACTTATTTGAGTCATCGATATGGAGATTAAAAATTATGATGAAGGGAAAATTTTTCATAAGCATTTTGGATCCTTTGTTGGAGTGAAGGTTTTGGGCTTCTTGTGTCTATATATTGTCGTTGGTTTTAAAGCATTTTGACAANCGGAAAGTAAATGTACTTGCAAGAGAGTACTGTGATGACTTAAAGAGGAAAAATAAGCCCATCATTTTATCACATCGTAATCCTCTAAATTCGTACAAATTCCTATGGGTTTCTTTTTTCCCCCATTCATTTTTCTTACTTCTTGTTGGATTCTGTCACATGTAGATATGCTTCCTGGTCTTAAGCAAGGGCAAGAGAAGATGTCAAAGAGTGATCCATCATCTTCTATCTACATGGAGGATACAGAGGTAAGATTTGGTTTTCAAGCAGAGTAAGTTATCATGATAAGTGTATGAAAAGGTCCAAGTAGTTTTCTAAATGAACAGCTCAAGTTACATTTGATTTAACTCAATTTTTATTTTGACATGTTATGAATTTTATTGTTCTACAAGTCTCTTTGTTTGGTGCCACAGGCGGATGTGAATTCAAAGATAAAGGGAGCATACTGTCCCCCGAAGATTGTTGAAGGAAATCCATGTCTGGAGTACATAAAATACATTGTCTTCCCATGGTTTAATGACTTTCAGGTGGAGCGCAGTACAGCCAATGGTGGTGACAAGTAAGTTCTATTGATGACTGCTTACCATTTAAAAGCTTTCATTTTTCCCTCGTCTTGTGTTTAGATATTGCTATCGGAGATTTCTTTTTTGCCCAGTTTTTTCCAATTAATTTCCATGCTTTCTCACTAATTTTAAGGTCAGGAACTCCTTAAATGCAATCTTCTTATTTTTGCAAAGACCATGTTTTTTGAAGTATTTCTTTTTTATTTCGTTATAAGCACTACGATAGCTTTGAAATGTGGGATTTAGTTGCCCCTTTTTTTTCAGCTAATGGCACACTTATTGTGTTTGTTCATAAATTCCATTGCAATCCAGGACCTTCAATAGCTTTGAAGAACTTGTTGCTGACTATGAGGAGGAGAAGTTACATCCTGCTGACCTCAAACCAGCTTTGGCAAAAGCATTAAATAAGATACTACAGGTTCTTGCTTTTATCGTGTTCCTGTTGATGGTTGGGAAAAGTTGCGAAGTTCCTGGTCAAATAATAAGNATATGCATTAATAACCCAATTCACATTTTTTTTACCCTTTGGGGGCGTTTGGTTCAAGGAATGTTGGATTACTGGAAAGTTAGATTACCTTGAAGATTATTGAGAATCTTTAGGAAAATGTGTTTGGTTAATTGGTACGTATGTTATATTAATATGTTTGGTTGGGAGGAATAAATTGACGGGTATATTATTTAAATTACTGAATTGTCCTCTAATTAAATATATTATTATATTATTTTATAATTTGTTTTTTTTGTTAAGTAAGTAATAATATTAAAAAAGAGAAGAATGTACAAAGGCCTAATAAAAGGCGACCAGCCTATTTTGGGACATGCCCCGAAAATAGGAATCAAAAGAAACAAGCCTACAAACGGCCATCCGCTCTTGGGGTTTATCTGAAACTACATAGGGAGATAAACACCAAGAAGAAAGCAAAGAGAACACCGAAAATTCCACCTACCATAGGACACCTCCCTAGGTTAGGATCATTAAAAGAAAAACACGAGATCAAACTCTTTACAAATGATACAAATACAACCAAGCAAAACTCTCTGCATTTAAAACTTAGCAAAAACAATCCCATAATAAAAGTTTGGAAAATCAACAAAGCACCCCCACCAACCCAGCCACTGCCGGCCACAGGCAACCATCGTAGGCCACCGGTAGTCGGCAACCTAACGGCACACGGAAGGCAGGAAATGGCCTCCGTACGCCATATGGCCATTTCAGGCTAGGGATTTGGCCGGAAATGGCCAGACGTGACAGATCTGGCTGTCAACAACCAGATCGATGGCTGTTGAGAGCTAGATCGACGGATTTGGCCTTTGACAACTAGATTAGATCTGGCCGTCAACGGCCAGATCTGACATGATCTGGCCATTTTCGGCCAGATATATGGCTGAAAATGGCCATATCGACCCATGGTGGCCATTTTCGACCTTCCGTGCATCGTTACGGCTGCGGTAGCAGCTGGCTGCGGCGGTGGTTACTGGTGGCAGGCGACGGCAAGTGGGTGGGTTGCAATTTGTTTTGAATTCAAGGGAAATTTTGTCCAAAAAGTTAATTAATCGGGGTGAAATAGTAAAATTCGTATTCATGTAAATAAATTTAAAAATAAGGGCATTATTGTCCTAAAATTTTATTAATAAGGGATAAAATTGTAACAAAAAAAGATTACCTTAGTAGTCTTAGAATACCTAAAAAAATGGAGGTAATCAAATTACCTCAAATATTACCAACAGTAACTATTATTGGCATTTGAAGATTACCGGAATTTTATATTACTTAACAGCAAAACGTGGTAATCAAGTAATATAAGATGACATAACTCCAGTAATCCCATATTACCCCCAACCAAACTCCTCCTTTATACTTTCGAGAAAAACCGCTTTTGAAAAACACATATATTGAGAAACATATAAGAGCTCTGTTATAGACTTGAAAAACCGAAGAAAATGAGATCCAACCAACTAATTTGGGTCTACTTTTACATATTCGATCCAAATAAAATCTTAGTTGAGNCCCAGAAGAGCGCAAAATTTTTATTGCTCGATCTGGTGTCTTCCTAGAAAAGGAATATTTTCTAAGAAGTACTAGTGGGAGAAAAGTAGAACTTGATGAAGTTCTAGAACCACAAGATATACTAGACGAAGGATGCGATGATGTGCCATAGGAAGTGGTTGAGCATCATGAGGAGGTTACTCCACAACTTGTGGATCAAAGTGAACCACCTCAGGTAGCACAGGAGATACGTAGATCTGGGAGAATACGTCATGAGCCCGAGAGATACGGTTATCTCGTGACTCAATATGGTGACGTACTAGTCTAGCAAGACGATGAACCCAGAACCTACGAAGATGCTATATCAGATCCAGATTCCGTTAAATGGCTTGAAGCCATGAAATCTGAGATGGACTCCATGTACTAGAACCAAGTGTGGTCTCTGGTAGAACCACCTGAAGGGGTAAAACCCATAGGGTGTAAATGGGTCTTCAAGAAGAAGACTGACATGGAAGGCAACGTGCATACTTATAAAGCACGACTGGTTGCCAAAGGTTTCAAACAAATTAATGGCATTGACTATGAAGAAACCTTTTCGCTGGTTGCCATGATTAAATCCATCCGGATTATGCTTGCGATTGCTGCGTATCATGACTATGAGTTTTGGCAAATGGATGTCAAAACTGCTTTCCTGAATGGAAACCTTGAGGAGGATGTGTATATGACACAACCTGATGGTTTCGTTCTTGATAGTCAAGCTAATAAGGTATGCAAGTGATGCGTGTTTACTACAACATGCAAAAATAGCAAGTATACTAGTCGCAAAAAGTAATAAAGTGATGGGTAGGATATCGTTCCCACGAGGACTGTTAGCAAAGCACTAAGTTTCCTAACGGCCCTAGAACCAATCAATTATTGTAGAATTGACTCTTTATAATAATATTTATATATCAATAAATGAATATTCTTCTATAGCATGTAAATCATACTTGTGTATTGCTATGTTAGAGCAGATACCCTAGAGCCATCAATTATTGTAGAATTGGCTCTTTGTAATAATGTTCATTAATCAATTAAAAGGCATTTTATTCTATATCGCGTAAATCATTATTATTCAATATGTGTTGATATATGTCCTAGAATGGTAGAACTGTGACGAGGGTATCAAGTGTTTCAAATCTTGATAGTGAGAACCCTATGAGCACAATGGTGGCCATTCTAGAAACGTCCGTAGCCCTAGTATTATCTGAAGTAAGGGCACAAATAATACAGTAAGGCTATCATAATGTTGAATGACCCTGTCGAAAGGCAATGACTGTCTCACTTGTCAAGGTTGTTTTGGCAACCTGGTGCAAACACATGGTTGTAACTGTAGCGAATACACCTAGCAATTCACTGGACTAACGCACCAGAGGATTCCATATGGATGGTAACCCCAGTGTCTATGGAACAAATCCTCTAACGAATGGTGGTGCATGTGATCCTTAGACTTGAGATCACCAGAGCGCCTTGTGCACCGATTGGTTGCAGTCTGACACTAGCCTAACATAGTTCTATTCAGAGCTATCAATAGGTGGTGATTGGCTGCATCAAGGAGTGTTCAAGACTATGGTGGATTGACAGAGGATTCATCACTCCCGGGTACGGAGAAATGTATCTCATGGTGCAATTCAGTATATGGCAATCGACTAAACGGTGGCTACAGTGGGATTGATTGTTGCTCTATCCGATTATAATACATCATTGGTCCAGAACTGAATACATAGTATCAAGAGTAACTGAAGGTTGACACTATTTCTATGCCTTCGCTCGTGCGAGATACGAATGATGAAAGGATCAATTGTACAGTAACCATATCGTTGACAGGTAGCTACTTGCTGAATCCGAATCTATCGGGTGGCCATGATGCCTTGCTAGGGGCCAATCTTGGTTTGTGTATAGTGAGACGATTAATTGTGTTAATCGCGATACTAACACTGCTAGAATATGAGGAGCCTATGGGTCACGCACATAGAAGATAATATAAGACTCAGAAGAAAGAAGGCGTTTTCGTCTTTTTAGGCTAAAGGGTATTTTGGTAATTTCACAGTGCAATTAAATTTACTGAGGTTGTAGCCTTTATTTAATTATTAAGAAAATTAAATAGTGAAATTACGTTTAAATATATGTCTCATATATTTAATTAAATCATCATTATTGATTAATGTTAATATATAGATTAATATTATATTGAGTTTAATTAAGATATGTGAAATAAAAAAAGAGTAATGCTACATTTACACACCCTTTACACCATTTTTATTACATCATGATGTGGCAAGTTTGGTATATTGGTGATAGATTTTTGGTTGAAATCAGTGTGTGATTTGATTGAAAATCCGTTTGGAGCGTATATGGTTACTGTATGAACAGATCCGGAGCTACAGGTCAGTGTATGCTTGCCGCGGCGATATAATCCTCGCCACAAGCAGCTGTTCATGCTGACGTTGGTGACGAAACCAACGCTCGCCCTGCGATATAAAGCATCACTGCGGCGATCGTCCTCTGGATGAACGTTGTACAAAACAGCGCTCACCGTGGCGATATAACCCATCACCGTGGCTATCGTCTTTAGGACAAATGCCGTATGAAATCGCCGCGACGACGTACGTTGAGCGCGAACGTCAAGTAATCAACATACGCGTGTGATCTAACTCATCGCCGCAGCGAGCGCACTTCCAAGTGCACATGGGCTAAAATGTAAAGTTTCAAAACTTTTAGACCAAATATGATCTTAAATTATCAGGGGTACATTATTAACCCATAATTTCAAAATTGTATTGTTTTTGAATGTATGCTATACTATGTTTGTATATTGACTGGTGCTAGGTACATGAGCCTTAGACTTAAGTGTGATTGTTTTAAAATATGTTGGGTATGTATGGTTTGTATAATTTATTAAATAGGGCCTGCGTATCCTGCCATTCTCCTCTTCTCGTTGTACATTCTCTTCTCACTCATTCCCCTCAAATGTAAATCAAGGTTTCTAAATTTATTGATGTAAAGAATTTGATAATTATTTCATTGTAAATTTAGAATGATATTTTGTAATGTACTTGAAGACGGAGCAAAGGACGAGGCAACCATACTGAAGACTCAAGATATTTATTACAGGACCCCTAGGTGACCCACTGATTCCTCTAGGCTCGAGGAATCAGTTTTAGTTGGGCTATGTACCGTCACATTTTATATTGTGTTTAGAATGCTGCTAAGGTTGAATGTTGAAACACCAAAACAATGTCATTCTAACAAAGATTATAATCTGGGTGGACATTAAATAACAAAACCCTCAATTAAGTATATTAAGTCACGTAAGCCTTCCATCATCATGGTTTTAATCAAACCACTGTTCGTCGAAACCTGTTCGTCAAAGCGAAGGGTACACTTCTACCAGTGGGAGGTTAAAGTGCATTGGAGTTTTCCTTATGGTGATGGGTCGACTTAAAATGACGGTTTTTGCTTGGTCGCCAAAGCGAAGGTTGATAAACGCGCGCCATAGGCATAGTATAGCATACACATATTGTTGTATGTGGTGACATGTAGTGTCCACTCTACTGATACTGAGAATCACACTTGAGGACGATGGCATGTAGTGACCATTGGATTGTGTGATTGGCTTGTTGGCTTTTTACATTTGAGGTTGATAGTGGGAGCTATAAACTGTTGTGGATTAAGTTTGTTGGCCTACCTATCAACTCATTTTGGTTTGTTCGCCAAGCGAAGGTTTGAAATAGGCAGGATGGGATCTCGGTCCACTAGGAAAGTCAACAGGCTTTCCCGAATTAACGGTAAGGGCCACTGACTTGAGTAAAATGGGGGAGCTTCGTTTAATAAAAGACCATATTAAACTAATAATGAACATGGTAATAACGGTTACTTATTCTGCACTTGTAGATTCACTTAAAATTGAGCAAAATGATCCCAACTGCTGCGACAAATTATCGAACTAGGAGAGAATGGAATGGTGAATATTTCGTTTATTGGTATAGAAGTATAAACAATATACTTCAGTCAAGCGATAGATTATACACCATTAAGCAAGCTCTATCACTAGAGCCTGCTGATAGTTCTATCCATGAGACTGGTTATGTATATGTGAAGCATACACATGATGCAAAAGCAGAAATGACAAGATACATTGTGCTTGCATCAATGACACATCATTACTGTGACAGCAGTGCCAGAAAATGGATTGCTTCTATTCTTCATTTTCTTCAAAGAATGAGAAGCATATGGTGTCTCGGTCGTTTTCAGATGTAGGATGGAAGAGGATACCAAATTGGTGATCATATACTCAAGTGGACGAGTATATGAACAAGCTTGACATTTTGGGATGTGGACTTAATGAAGGTTTAGCAATGAACCTAATATTATAGTCTTTGTCAAATTCTTATTCTCAATTTGTCTATGACTCATTGAGAGATAAGAAGAAATACCCTTTCTGAGCTTCTGGATTTGTTAAAGGCTACTGAGTCAGGCATGAGAATGTCAGAAACATTGACATTGGTTGAAGCCAGCCCATGAAAAGGAAAGGCTCAGAAGTCAATGGAAAAAACTATTGCAGAAAGGAAAGGCGTTTGTCCTCACTGTGGGAATCCTAGCCACTGGAGGAAACATTGCAAGGCCTTCCTACAAAGGGAAGAAGAATGTTACTTCTTCGTCACGTACATTCTTGAGATTAACTTCTCCTGTAAACATCCAGTTGACACAAGATGTGGTTCTCACATTTGATTGATGTGCAGGAACTACGTTAGAGTAGATTGCTCGCCGAGGGAGAGGTGACCTACCAGTTGGAAATGAAGCATGTGCTGCTGCATTTGCTGTAGGATCTTATCGTCTTTAGCCTGGACTTTTTTCTTGGACTTGTGGATTATTATGGTTTTTCTTCAGTTTCTAGAAATCATATTCTATGGCCACATAGGACAAATGAGAATAGTTTACTAATGGATTATGTCCTTGAATATAAATAATATCCTTATTGAACTGTTTCATAATAATATGTTCTTAAGAAAGACAACAAGGATAATCTCAAAATGACAACTATGCCAACTTTGGCAAGTTGAGCTAAACATACCTAAAGGAATGTGGGATAGTATCACAACTCACCCTCCTTATACACCCCACACAATGGAGTTGTTAGAAAGGAGGAACAGACCTTACTTGATATGGTTGGTCCATGATGAGTTTTAGTGATTTACCTGCATCGTTCTAGGGTTAGCCCTAGAGACTGCGACTCACGTTTTGAACTGTGTGCCGTCAAAGTCTGTAAGAAGACTCCATATGAGCTATGGAGTGGGCAAAAGCCCAACTTGTCTTATCTAAGGATTTGGGGTTGCAAAGCTTATGTTAAGAAATTGACTTCGAACAAGCTGGACCCAAAATCCTGTAAATGTATATTTGTGGGGTATCCAAAGGAGACCAAAGGTCTAATTTCTACCTAGAACAAGAACTGTCGGTTCCGATTCTGGTTCCAAATTTACAAGAACCGTCGGTTTCGGTTCCTTCAAAAAGTGTAGGGTACTCGGAACTGAACACCCCTAATTAAAACATAGGGTTCAATTGCTATCTTTATTAGCTTTTAAGAAGGAACTCGAACTTGGAACTTCTTAAATAATACACTAAAGAGTCACTATTAAACCACTTAATCACCTAGTGAGAGATAGTTTTTTTGTCTTTTGTTTTCACATATTAATTAGTGTTTTAAACAATCGTGTGGGAGTTGATAACAAAAATAAATAAATTGTGATTTCTTATAGACATTCTAACTACCAAAAAAGCTTCTTCAATTAATTCGGGTATTTTCAATCTTAATTATTTTTCTCCAACTAGGAAAGCTGATGAATTATATGTACAACAAGAGGTTTAATTAGTAAAACTTGTAATATATATGTTTGCAATTAGATTTTGAGTAATATTATTAAAAAGAAATATAACAATTTAGTTTTCATAAGTATGTGTTTTGTTCATCTATTTGTCAATTAACAATATGCATTAATAACCCAATTCACATTTTTTTTACCCTTTGGGGGTGTTTGGTTCAAGGAATGTTAGATTACTGGAAAGTTAGATTACCTTGAAGATTATTGAGAATCTTTAGGAAAATATGTTTGGTTAATTGGTAGGTATGTTATATTAATATGTTTGGTTGGAAGAATAAATTGATGGGCATATTATTTAAATTACTGAATTGTCCTCTAATTAAATATTATTATTATATTATTTTATAATTTGTTTTCTTGTTAAGTAAGTAATAATATTAAAAAAGAGAAGAATGTACAAAGGCCTAATAAAAGGCGACCAATCTATTTTGGGACATGCCCCGAAAATAGGAATCAAAAGAAACAAGCCTACAAATGGCCATCCGCTCTTGGGGTTTATCTGAAACCACATAGGGAGATAAATAGCAAGAAGAAAGCAAAGAGAACACCAAAAATTCCACCTACCATAGGACACCTCCCTAGGTTAGGATCATTAAAAGAAAAACACGAGATCAAACTCTTTACAAATGATACAAATACAACCAAGCAAAACTCCCTGCATTTAAAACTTAGCAAAAACAACCCCATAATAAAAGTTTGGAAAATTAACAAAGCACCCCCACCAACCCAGCCACTACCGGCCACAGGCAACCATCGCAAGCCATCGGTAGTCGGCAACCTAACGGCATAAGGAAGGTAAGAAATGGCCTCCGTGCGCTGTATCACCATTTTCGGCTATGGCTGTTGACGGCCAGATCGATGGATCTAGCCGTTGATGGCCAAATTAGATTTGGCCGGAAATGGCCAAACGTGACAGATCTGGTTGTCGATGGCCAAATCTAATTTGGCCATCAACGGCTAGATCCATCGATCTGGCCGTCAACAGCCATATCGATGGCTGTTAAGAGCTAGATCGACGGATTTGGCCTTTGACGATTAGATTAGATCTGGCCGTCAATGGCCAGATCTGGCCATTTTCGGCTAGATATATGGCCGAAAATGGCCATATCGGCGCATGACGGCCATTTTCGACCTTCCGTGCGTCGTTACGGCTGTAGTAGCAGCTAGCCGCGGCGGTGGTTACTGGCGGCAGGCGACGGCAAGTGGGTGGGGGTGGTGGCTTGGGTGGGTTGCAATTTGTTTTGAATTCAAGGGAAATTTTGTCCAAAAAGTTAATTAATCGAGGTGAAATAGTAGAAGTCGTATTTATGTAAATAAATTTAAAAATAAGGGCATTATTGTAATAAAATTTTATTAATAAGGGATAAAATTGTAACAAAAAAAGATTACCTTAGTAGTCTTAGAATACCTAAAAAAATGGAGGTAATCAGATTACCTCAAATATTACTAACAGTAACTATTATTGGCATTTGAAGATTACCAGAATTTTATATTACTTAACAGCAAAACGTGGTAATCAAGTAATATAAAATGACATAACTTCAGTAATCTCATATTACCCCCAACCAAACGCCTCCTTTATACTTTCGAGAAAAACCGCTTTTGAAAAACACATATATTGAGAAACATATTAGAGCTCTGTTATAGACTTGAAAAACCGAAGAAAATGAGATCCAACCAACTAATTTGGGTCTACTTTTACATATTCGATCCAAATAAAATCTTAGTTGAGACAAATTGTTTTTTTTCAAACAAGATTTTATACAATTTTCTTCATACTTTAAACAACGATTTCCCCTCTTTTAAGTATCCAAAATAAAATTTATTCCCTTTTGTTATGTTAGAGTAAATGCCCTAGAACCAATCAATTATGGTAGAATTGACTCTTTATAATAATATTTATATATCAATAAATGACATACATTTCTTCTATAGCATGTAAATCATACTTGTGTATT